GAGTCAACCAGGAGCTTGCAGGGCTGTGGGGAGGAAGGTGGAGCAGAAAGAGGGTGGGGAGAGAGAAGGCGCTTTTCCTGGTGCCACAGGTGAGGGCAGCGAGCTCCGGAAGGTGAAACACACATGCTTGAGAAGTGTGCCCCTGGTTCACATGGGGGTGGAGGTAAGTGATAAACCTGGGTGCCCAGGTGAGCCTAGCAGTGGAGGGCTCTGAGTGCCAGGGCGGGAAGTCCACCTTTAAAAGCAAGTCACACCTGGAGGGTTTTGAGCTGCAGGAGGGACCTTTGAGAAAATTAAGGTCACATATGGATTACACCAGGGAGGGAGTATTCAGGGATCTGACTGCCACAGGCAGCCGTAAAGGTGTGGTGAGCTCTGTGAAGCAGGGCCAGAAGCTGACAGCACCTTGTAGCTGCGCCTCCGCCTCCGGGTCTCTCCACGCTGGGATCTAGAGGAGGCGGAGACAGAGAGCCTCAGCCCTGAGCCCTCACCCTGAGGGTGTCAGCTCGCTGAGGTGCCAGGAGGGGCGAGCCCCCAGGCATGGCCCAGCCAGGCTGCCTGCCTGTCTTTCTCTGCTGTAAAATAACATGCCCGAGGCGAAGGTTGGTGTCTGCACTCTCTGCAAATGTATTGGTGGATGTCAGGACTGGGTCCAAGGACGGTCTCCCCCTGCCCCTGGGAAAAGTTGCCATTCTGGGCTGCCCACGGGTCATTGAGCATCACGGGACAAAAGGGTCCTGGTCTCGAGGAAGAGAGAGTGAATGGGTGCATTGAAGCTCCTGTGAACGAGGCTTCTGGTGGTCCGGGAATCAGATTCAGACCTCAGTCGCTGGCTGGTAAGTGGCGACATTGTCAGGGCCGTGCAGTTAGTGGCTTCCACCTTCCTTGAATGGCAAGCTCAGTGTGTGTATCTGTGTTTTAAAAGGACTGCACATCTCTTTATGTAGCTGCTAACACACAGTGGCTCAGGGTAATCCCTGTATTCCCCATCAATGACAACAGAAACAAGGATCTGTCTCCCAGAGTCCCAGTGGTGGTCTGTGCTCTGTTCTCCCTGCCCAGCCCTGAGGCCCTGCTTTCCGCGCCCCTCGCCCCCAGCCCTCCTGCCTTCTTGGCAGGGGTGGCAGGAATCTGATCGCTCTTAAATGTTAATTTCCGCTTTTCTTGGCCGCTCTTGGCAAGCTGTCCCAGTGTCCTGTAGGGGCCTCAGCTGAGTTCTCGGCTATCACTCTCCCAGCTCTGGGTAAAATCCTCCCCATCCGGACTTCAGCCAGCTCCACTGTTGAGGACGTGGCCGTCTGTGCGGGGCTTTGAGGCGGGCTGGGGCTGGTCTGGATGTCCCCTCTCAGTTGCCATGTCCACCTGTGTCTCTCCCCTCCACCAGCTCTCTCAGCAGCTTCTCCTAAACTGTGCCAGTCGTTTTCAAAGACAAAACGGCATTGCTGCTTCCATTTATGTCACCAGCAGCCAGAGTTTCTCGATCAGAAGCCTTCTGTGGCTTCCCGTAGCATCCAGGCCCGAGGCTAGACCCGTGGACGTCACGTTCTGGCCCGTGCCCTCCAGCTTCTGCAGTGCTCAACCCGCCGTGTCCTCCAGGCCTGCGTGCCCTCCTCTGCCTGGCTATTCCCCCCGCCCACCCCGCTTAGAACCCAGGCGCACCTCACCTCCTCTGGGCAACTGGCCCGGTCCTGTGGAGCCTCGCTGGTACAGCAGGCCTTGGGGTCCTTGGGAGCAGGGCTGTGCAGTAAGGCCTCGAGATTGTGCCCATCTCGGCTTCTTTTAAAACCCTCCACTAGATGCTCCGCACCCCCATAGTGAGTGGGACTCGGTAATACTCCCAAGGGCGGTGGGGGCCAGGGCCGGGGCCTCTTTCACTCCATCTCTCAAAGCGTGGTCAGGATGAGCTGCCCTGGCGTCCTTTGTCCTGACACGCCCCGCTGCTGGGGTTCCCGTGCCCTGAGCAGGAGCCTGTGGGGCGGGGGGTCTGGAGGACGTGCAGCAGGAAGGGTGGTCCCCTCTCTGGGCGTGCCTCTCAGTCCCAGTCCCGGGAGCAGCCTGGCCTGGGCGGGGGCGGTCAGATCCCGCAGCTAACCGCATCCGCTGGCCGTAACCCACAGCTCCTTCCCCTGTGTCCGGCTGCCGCCTCCCAAGAGGCCCGGTCAGACCCAGAATCTCAGGTAGGAATTGTCATTAATGTGACAGCCCACCCGTCACGCACAGGCCGCGGGCTCAAAACCATCATAAAGCTCTGCTCCCCGCCCGCCCCCCCACGAATCCCAGTTTATCCTCTGCGTTGACTCCCCCCAGGAAACGAGGCTTCATCTTTTGGATCCGAAGTATTTTCACGTTCTCTCGTCTCAGTAAACAGCTCCACACGCGGCCACAGGCTGCCTGGTCGGGGCAGAGCCGTGACAGCCCGGCGACCAGGTCTCTGGTCCGGCTCTGACACAGCCTGTGAGGACAGAGCCGTGCGGCCACCGCGGCTGATGGGCGGGGGCCGGTGTCCCCGGCTGGAGGGTGGACCCTGGGTGCGGAGGAGCCATGCAACTGCGTGGGGACCGGGAGACAAAGCCCGGCAGCACTTCCTGGCCACAGCTGCCTCATGCCTCCAGCTGGGTCAGTGCTGTCCTCTCCTGGAGGCCCAGCTCCGTGCACAGTTCTGTGCTGAGAGGAGCCCGGGGGCGGGAGAGGGAGTCCGAGCGCGTGGTCACATCCGTTGTAACCTCACAGGGCAGGCGTGGAAATAATCTGGGACCCCACTCAACTGGGGAAACCATCCAGGTGCCTCACCCCTTCCTTCAAATAACTGGCATGTTTGTGAGTGCTGATCCATGAGTCACAAATAGAATGTGTGTGTGTGTGTGTCTGTGTGTGTGTCTGTGTGTGTGTGTGTGTGTGTGTCTGTGTGTCTGTGTGTCTGTGTATTTTGCGGGAGGTGTTCCAGATGGACTGGAGAACTGCAGGATGGGATGTGGGTGGGAGGAATGGCGGTCTGGGCACAGGTTGGGCATGTTTTTAAGGGACGCGTCACCCCCAGGCCCACCTTTGCTCCCTCCCCAGAGAGGCAGCCACAGCTGTCCTGCCTCCTGTGCATGTGTGTCTAGGCCCCCTGGCCCTGAGGATGACAGGGCCCTTGCTCTCCCCTTCTGCCCTCCTCACACACTGTATGAGTCAGCTAGGGCTGCTGTAACAAAATGCCGTAGGATGCGGGGCTTGCACAATGGAAATTTATTTCTTCACATTTCTGGATTTTGCGAAGCCCAGGACCAAGGTGCTGATTTGGATCTTGGGTGAGGGCCCGATTCCTCGCTTGCAGACGGCTGCCTTCTTGCTGTGTCCTCACCTGGCAAACAGCAGAGAGAGAAGCGAGCTCTCTGGTGCCTCCTCCTGTAAGAGCCCTGATTCCACCCACCTCATCTAACCTCATCCCTCCCTGCCCCCCATCTCCTCCATATATAACCACGTTGGTGTTAGAACTTTAACAAATGAATTTGGAGGGGCACACGTTCAGCCCATAACCCAGGCCTTCTCTCCAGGGTGTTCAGGTGCAGGAAAGCGGCCTTCTGTGGCCTCGGGATGACCTGGAATCCACCTTGGAGCCACTGCCAGCGGGTCACTCAGAGCCAGGACTGGGGCTGCTGATGCGCGCCTGCGTTGGCCAAGGCAGGGGCGTTCCCGTAGTCACTGAGCCCTGCCCCTTGTTCTCAGCGCCTTGCCCGGGTTCTCTTTTTCTCCTTCACGCAAATCAAATCAGAACAGTGCTATTACTACCCCATGTTACAAAGATGAAAATGGATCTTGTGTAAGCTATTTAACTCAGGGTCATCCCCGGGAGCCACAGAGTGTGAATGCAAACTCGGTCTGCTTGCTGCATGGTTACTGCACGCAGAGCCTGGGGCCGGGCTATGTCATCCCCACTGCAGAAGCTGCAGAGGGTGGCGCTGGGCCCCCAGGTCCCTCGCATGAGTAGGGCCACCCACCTGTGTCAGAAGACGAATTTCCAGCTGCCTGTGGACAGCAGTCAAAGAACAAGGGACCTGAGGACAGGTTACATGAACCCAGCCATTCTGGGGTGGAATTCACCTGCCCTCGGGTAGCCCTCTGCTCCGAGTGCTGTGGCCCAGCTGTGGCCAGCTGTGGCCAGCTGGAGCGTTGTCTGCCCAGGTCCGCTCTGGGAGAGCATGTGAAATTCCCTGCTCTGAAATTGGCTCCTGGCAGGTCCTTTCCTGTCCATTGGCCCTGGTGAGAGGTCTGCTTGGAGCCAGTCACCTTGTTCGCCTCCAGAACCCTCCACGTGCCTTGGGTGCCCCTTTCCCAGAGAAACCGAGGCCTCAGGAGAGAATCTGTGTTCTTTCCCACAAACATTTCCTGTGCTGGCCTGGTAACAGCACAGTGATCCAGTGAACGTACCACGTTTCGTCTGCGGAAGTCACACAAGAATACCTTATATCCACAGGTGGCCACGTGTGTCTTATTTGTGTTTGTTTATTTGGGGTCTGGGGAGGATTTAGGGAGCGTGTGGGCAGGGAGTCGTCCCCTCAAACCCACTGCAACGATGCCAAGCGCTGCTTGCTCAGGGCTGGAATCACAGCAGTGGCCGTTCCTACGATGGGACCAGCCACTTTCTGGGCAGAAGGAGATTTAGTTCCCCTTCCCTGAACCCTGGAACTCGCGGTGTGGACAGATCCTGTTTTGTCCTCCTCTTTGACTGTAATGAATGGGCCGGCCAGGTGCTCAAGCAGATCTCACAAGCCTCATTGTGCCCCAGGAAGAGAGAGTGCAAACAGCAGGATAGGGAACACTGCCGGGGCTGTGTGCAGCAAGAGGACAGATGAGACGGGCATAAAGTGGGCATAGAATCCGGGGAGTGAGCCCTGCTCTGCTCCCTTGGGCCAGGAAAAGTGACACGGCCTCTGGAAGGAAGAGGATTTTCCCACTTGCCATCAGTTGACTCTTTAACCGTGTTTCACTTGATCAAGGGAAATTCCTTTCTTCTTCCCCTGCTCACAGGACGAAGCACATTGCGGAGCTGATGCCGTAGCGCAGCTTGGTTGCCTGAGACAGAAGCTTCAGCAATTGCTGGAATAACTGGAGGGGAAATATGAAACCTTAGCCGTTCACCCGGCAGGCAAGAGAGTTTCAAGATGGCAGCTCAGCGCATCCGAGCTGCCAACTCCAGCGGCCTCCCACGGTGCAAGTCCGAGGGGACCTTGATTGACCTGAGTGAAGGGTTTTCAGAAACAAGCTTTAATGATGTCAAAGGTGAGCTCCTGGGAATAGCACTGGCTGGGGTTTGCAAGAGCTCTAAGACCCAAGGACTCCTCTACTTAACAGGCTGCCAAGTTCACGTTCAGATAATTAAATCTTAGCTCTCTAAACGTCGTCGTGTTATGAATTCAGCCCTGGCACAATACCCACTTGTTTTGTTTTGATGGGTTGGGAGGTTGCTTTGAATTTTCCTCTTTGTAATGGAGCTTCTTAACGCAGAACATGTTTCTCTTTCCACAAGTTTTGGTGACATTAAGGTAAGAGCTTGGTGGCGTATAAAAGTAGGGGTAAGGAGAGTGTAGTAGGTCGATGAGGTCCTGGGAGCCGCTGCAGAAAACAAGGGGGGCCGGGGACAGGGGCCAGCACGCTTTCTCTGCAGAAGGTCAGAGACTGAATACTTGAATCTGTGTAGGCCCTACGGCCTCTGTCACAGCTATTTAACTCCGAGATTGTAACGAGAAAGCAGTCACGGAAGAGGGAAAACAAATGGGCGTGGCTGTGCTCCAGCAGAACTTTACAGAATTTGGCCCGGGCGCCAGAGTTTGCCAACCCCTGGTTTAGAGGTGGCCCTGGGGTTTCCCTAACAGCCACGTAAAACTGGGCTGGTGATAAAGCCTATCTTTTGGACACCGAGGTGGATGCCAGCGGGTCGTTTTCCTTCTGGCGTCTATCCTGCCCTCACTGGCCACGGTCAGTGTCTCCCGTGAGCCTCCTGGCATCTTGTGCTTCATCGTCCTCATCACCATCACCCCCGTCAGTTGACTTTCCCACCACGTTCACCGAATTCCGTTGAAATGATTCGGTGCGCTGCCCACAGCTCAACGGCAAGAGCTTTCGCTTTACCCTTGTATCGTTGGCCCCTGGCACAAAATCGGTGCTAAATAAATATTTCTGGAACTAATCTGCTACCTCCCAGATAAAATCATGATGCCCAACCCCGATGTACTAAAATCATCCTGTGCCTGTTTCTGCCTTTCTTCTCTCTTCCAGTTATCCTCATCTTCCCCTTCTTCCTGTCTGTCCTTTAGGCTTGTGGCCCTGAGCATCGCTTAAAATGTTCTTTTAAACAAAAGACTAGCAAGGGAATCATGAGGTTTTATTAATAAGAGCAGCGGACCTATTGGGTGTTGCTATGAATAATCATGCCGTTTGTTTTTCGTAGTCTGGTAACGGGCATTGTTTTCTTACTTTGTAACCCAGCTAGTCATGGTTGAAGCGGGAAACTGGGAGCTCAAGTCATGCAGTTTGGGCTGGGATTTTGAAACGAGGGGCAGAGAGCTGAATTTTAAAAGATGATGATGATGATGATGATGTTGATCTAGGAGGAGCGGTTATTCCTAAAAGAACACTGCAGCTGGGGGAGGGAGGCTGAGGAGGGGCTGGTTAGCTTGGGGGGGTCGGGGTGGGGAGAGAGACCCCCTGACTCCACTCCCGAGGGGCAGGCTGTGGCCCAGGCAGCATTTCGGCCCAGCTGCTCCCCACACATGCCGATGGTAAAAACGGCTTCAAGGTGGGAATCTATTCCAGCCAGAATATCTGCTGCAGAATCTTCTGCCCTAATGAATGTTTTTCCTGCATAAGACCGAAGGCAGAGGGTAGGAAATGTATTATTCAGTGAACTGAACCTCCTGACACCCAGGGATATTTTTCTTGTATTAAAATCAAGGTACCTGGGAATCTGGGAATTCGATACGGATTTTCCTGCATTTGATTGGATGGAAGCCCCGGCCTTGTGTACACCCCAGGTGTCTGTGTGGCCCTTGTCTGACAGAGGGCCGGTCTTGGAAGGGAGCTCACGCCGCGGTCCACTTCCACGGGGGCCCAACAGGAAGGGGCGCCGTCTCCCATCAGACAAGCCTCATCCTTGAGTGAAATATCTTATTACTGCTCCTCTCCTAAGGAGAGTGCTTGGAATTTTGAGTAAAACCATTTTTATTCTCCGGTCTGGTAAGAAGACTAAAGTGATCATTTGCACTGATACGTTTTCTCAGGTTATGTACACAGCCTGCCTAATAGCTTTGGTTTTTAATTTAAAAAATATTACTGTAAGGGAATTATTCTGGAGGAACATAATAGGGATATAACTTTTGAGGAATTCTAACAAGATTTTAGTAGCTGGCCAGCTTTCTTTGATTTCCATTTGGTTTTAAATTTGATGTGACATTTTCATTAGATGTGTCAAGGAAACTGGAGCCTGTGACTGGAAAACAAAGTGGGAGGGAAAATCTTATATTATCCCCTGACCCCAGCTGACCCATCTGCCTTCTGCCACCTCCCCTCGAAGCCATTATCTTTGACTTGGCTGTTTTTATTCACTGCCCCCCTTCAGTGTTAAGTGATTGCTGTCTGGTGTGATTTTATAGCAGAAGGGCACAGCCCAGGGGGATTCTAACTTAGCCTTTGGACAACACCTTGTCCCAGTAACATGGATATGGCGTCTCTGTTGTAAGCTTACAGGATGAGCATTCATTCCACGGATGTTTATTGGGCACCTGCTATGTGACACAGGCCCTGTTCCAAGGACACCACTGCGAGCAAAACATAGCCGAACAGAGCTTACACCCTAGTGGGGCAATGGAGCCCCTCCCCGACGAAACCAACATAAATATGTATGGTACATTTTCTATGGGTTAATGATCAACGCTATGGAGAAAAATTCGATTAGGAGGGGGCCGGAGATGTCTATTTAAACGTAACATTTTGTGAGTCTTTACCTTGTACTAAGCATCACTGTGCTAATCACTTCATCACCATCATCTTGCTTAATCCTCACCAGAGCCCGTCGAGGGAAGGTGGTTCATCCATCGTGAAGAATGTCAGGCTCCGGAGGTCTAAGGGTGTAGATTCAAATCCCAGGTCTGGTGATCCCAGTACCAGCTTCTCCCCGACACCCCAGACAGGGTGGTAGGTGACAGCCTTCGAGGCCCAGGTTCACACCCTGCTAATAAGCATATCTCTGTAATTTAGTTAGTGTAAATGAATAGAACCTTCCTGCTTTATTGCCTGAGACTTTGCTGAGGACACGCAATTTAATTTTCATTATTTCCTTTTATTTATTTTTAAAGATTTTTTTTTTTAATGTGGACCTTTTTTTAAGTCTTTATTGAATTTGTTACAATATTGCTTCTGTTTTATGTTTTGGGCTTTTTTTGTGGGGGGGGGATCTCAGCTCCCCCACCAGGGATCAAAAGCACAGCCCCTGCATTAGAAGGCGAAGTCTTAACCACTGGACCACCAGGGAAGTCCCCTCACTATTTCCTTTTAAAGGAAGGGGAAACTAACTGGCAAATGATTTTTTTGGCAGGGGGGAGGGCCAATTTGGTAGAATAGGATGTCTGTTGACTTAATCATATATTAGACAAGATGTAGGTGTAGTTCCACTAAAAATGTAGTCCTTTCTTTGCTTGTTTACATAAGCGACTAAAAAAAGTTTACTTTCATTTGGTTGTTACAGGAAGGCAGCAGACTCCGTAAAACAAGGGACAGTTGGGATGGGGGGGGGGTTGGAGAGAAATATATGGGCTTATTTCCATCAGAAGTTTCTTCATCCTCTGAGTATATGTACTTTGTTACGTATGGGAGGGAGAGAAAACACTCAGGTTTCTAATTATCTCTTATTTTTCAAAACACACCCTACTTGTTTAGATGACTTTTTTTTTTTTTTTTTTTTTTTTTTGCTGTTCCAATTGCTGTCTACCTTGGTAACACTCAGTTGAATGCCAAGAACCATAAATTAGCTTGAGTCACTGTTTAAAGTGTTGGGATTTTTCAGATTGCTTAAAGATCGTTCAAAAAGAATGTGAATTACAACCAGACCTAAACCTTTGATTTTCAAGGAATAACAGAGAGACCAATTTCCATGTTGTTCTGAATGATGGTTTAAAAGAGGTTGAAAGAGGGCTTCCCTGGTGGCGCGGTAGTTGGGAGTCCGCCTGCCGATGCAGGGGACACGGGTTCGTGCCCCGGTCCGGGAGGATCCCACATGCCGCAGAGCGGCTGGGCCCGTGAGCCATGGCCACTGAGCCTGCGCGTCCGGAGCCTGTGCTCCGCAACGGGAGAGGCCACAGCAGTGAGAGGCCCGTGTACCGCCAAAAAAAAAAAAAAAAAAAAAAAGAGGTTGAAAGAGACCAACCTCAAAAATCTTATTTCATACAAACAGTTTGATGAAGAATGGGTTCAACTTGGAAACTAGGAAACGGGCCTGATAGTCAGGGAACCTTCCGCTTGCTTTATGTATTTTACGTTGAAGGCAGGACATGCAATCAGCTCTTAGACACCGAGAGATCCTGTTGCAGGTCTTTCCCAGTCCCTGGTTACATGCAGTGGGTCACTTAACTCAGCATCACTGTTTTCTCTAAGTAAATCACATTCAGCTTCTCTTTCGACCTAGCAGCAGTCCCGGTAAGTTAGTCCCGGTAAGTTAGTAACAATAAAGAAAAGTTGGGTCAAGATGAGATGTTTAAAACCTGGGACATACTGATAATTCCATTATGCTGATTCATGTTTCTGTGGATGGTGGAGAGACTCTCTGTGGCCTTTCCACCTGACTCAAACCGTGCGTTGGGATGTGATAGAATCCGGGAGACAACGCTCGATTTAGGCTGTCGGCCAGGTGAATCGCCCACCAGATTTTACTTTGGTTTGTTTCCGTCGTTTACTTGCCGGACACGTCGTCTCCCTGTCGGGGGTGATGGTTTTCCAGACCTCTCTTCCCCCTGGTTTTGACGGTGCTCTGCCTCGCCCTGAGGGCCCGCCCTCACCTCCTGTTCTTTGTGTTTTACGCAGTGCCTTCTCCCAGCGCCTTGCTAGTAGACAATCCCACGCCCTTTGGAAATGCAAAGGAAGTGATCGCAATCAAGGACTACTGCCCAAACAACTTCACCACCCTCAAGTTCTCCAAGGGCGACCACCTCTACGTCCTGGATACGTCAGGCGGGGAGTGGTGGTACGCACACAACACCACGGAGATGGGCTACATCCCTTCCTCTTACGTGCAGCCCTTAAACTACCGGAACTCCACCTTAAGTGACAGCGGGATGATCGACAATCTTCCAGACAGCCCGGACGAAGCAGCCAAGGAGTTAGATTTGCTCGGAGGATGGACAGACGACAGGAGGGAGTCGAGCAAAACCTACAGTAATAATCCTTTCTGGAACGGTGTCCAAACAAACCCGTTTCTCAATGGGAATGTGCCAGCGATGCCCAGCGTGGACCTACCGACTCCCCAAAGCACCGTGGACTTGCTCCTCTTCGACACGGGCACATCTTCGTTCACCGAGTCCAGCTCAGCCACGACCAACATCTTCGACGAGCTGCCGGCCACCAGCCGCCTTCACGCGGAGCCGACGGTCAGGCGGGACAACCCTTTCTTCCGGAGCAAGCGTTCCTACAGCCTCTCGGAACTCTCCGTCCTCCAAGCCAAGTCCGACACTCCCGCATCCTCGGGGTTTTTCACGGGCTTGAAATCGCCGGCCCCCGAGCAGTTCCAAAGCCGGGAGGACTTCCGGGCTGCCTGGCTGAGCCACCGGAAGCTGGCCCGGTCTTGCCACGACCTGGACTTGCTGGGCCAAAGTCCCGGCTGGGGCCAGACGCAAGCGGTGGAGACGAACATCGTGTGCAAGCTGGAGAGTTCGGGGGGCGCCGTGCAGCTTCCCGACACCAGCATTAGCATCCACGTGCCCGAAGGCCACGTGGCTCCAGGGGAGACGCAGCAGATCTCCATGAAGGCCCTGCTGGACCCCCCGCTGGAGCTCAACAGCGACAGGTGCAGCTGCATCAGCCCGGTGCTGGAGGTGAAGCTGAGCACCCTGGAGGTGAAAACCCACATCATCTTGGAGATGAAGGTTTCAGCTGAGGTGAAAAGTGACATTTTCAGCAAAAGCACAGTGGGCCTCCAGTGCCTGAGGAGCGACTCAAAGGAGGGGCCCTATGTCCCCATCCCACACACCTACAGCTATGGGGACACGGTCCAGGTCCAGCTGGACAACCTGGAGCCCTGTATGTACCTGGCCATTGTTGCCCACGGCCCGAACATTCTCTACCCTTCCACGGTCTGGGACTTCATCAATAAGAAAGTCACCGTGGGTCTTTATGGCCCCAAACACATCCACCCATCCTTCAAGACGGTGGTGACCATTTTCGGGCATGATTGTGCCCCCAAGACCCTACTGGTCAGCGAGGTCACCCGCCAGGCCCCTAGCCCGGCCCCAGTGGCACTGCAGCTCTGGGGCAAGCACCAGTTCGTCTTGTCCAGGCCCCAGGATCTCCGAGTCTGCATGTTTTCCAACATGACCAACTACGAGGTCAAAGCCAGCGAGCAGGCCAAGGCCGTGCGAGGCTTCCAGGTGAAGCTGGGCAAGGTGAGCCGCCTCATCTTCTCCGTCAGCTGCCACAACGCCAGCGAGCTCTCCGACTTCACCTTGCGGGTCCAGGTGAAAGACGACCAGGAGGCCATCCTGACCCAGTTTTGCGTCCAGACCCCACAGCCACCCCCGAAAAGTGCCGTCAAGCCATCCGGGCAGAGACGGTTCCTCAAGAAGAACGAGGTCGGGAAGATCATCCTGTCCCCGTTTGCTGCCACCACCAAGTACCCGACTTTTCAGGACCGCCCTGTGTCCAGCCTCAAGTTCGGCAAGTTACTCAAGACGGTGGTGCGGCAGAGCAAGAACCACTACCTGCTGGAGTACAAGAAGGGGGACGCCATCGCCCTGCTCAGCGAGGAGAAAATCCGGCTGAAGGGGCAGCTGTGGACCAAGGAGTGGTACATCGGCTACCACCAGGGCAGGGTCGGCCTCGTGCACGCCAAGAACGTGCTGGTGGTGGGCAAGGCGCGGCCCAGCCTCCTCTCCGGGCCCGAGCTGAGCACGTCGCTGCTGCTGGAACAGATCCTGCGCCCGTGCAAGTTCCTCACCTACATCTACGCCTCCGTCCGCACGCTGCTCATGGAGAACATCAGCAGCTGGCGCTCCTTCGCTGACGCCCTGGGCTACGGGGACCTGCCGCTCAACTTCTTCTGCCGGGCCGAGCTGGACAGCGAGCCCGAGCGGGTGGCGTCCGTCCTGGAGAAGCTGAAGGAGGACTGCAACAGCACGGAGAACAGAGACCGGAAGTCCTTCCAGAAGGAGCTCATGATGGTGAGTGCCCGGTGGGGCTTGGATTCCTGGAGGATGGGGCTCGGTCCAGCCTCAGCCTTTCCCTGGCGCGTGTGGGAACGGGTGTGGTGTCGGGAGTCAGTGGACCGGTGTCTGGGCCCCCGTTCTGCTCCCTGAAACTCACACACGCCTGGGGATAGGCATTGACGTGGGACCGGTAGGGGGGCCCCCAAACAACTCGGAGCCGCTGCTGCGAGGGTCGTTCAGGTCTCTTCCTGCTGGATTTGTGAGCCCCTCTGGAGGTCCGGAATGCATCTCTGCCTGCCCGGTCGGGGACGCAAGGGGGGCCCTGTGCGCCACCCGCCCCTGTTTAGATCTCTTGGGACAAGATCCATCCTTTCGTCAGAGTCCCAGCGGGATCTGCGACTCGCCCCAAAGTTGTGAAATTTTCTCTCCAGGCCTTACTTGAAGGTTCTCCCCTCTCTCTGTGTCATTTCCTCTTCCTCCTTCTTGCGTGTGTTTGAGTTGGGGTGAGGACGGCCGCTGTTTTGCCAGCACAACTGGGAACTGGGACCCTAAGAAGTAAAGAGGGGGGAGTCCCACTGCTGGGCACAGCCGGCCCGCAAGCCATATGGGAAGCTTTCTGGACCCGATCACGGCCTCCAGCAGGCTTGGGCTCTGCGCCGGCCATGCCGCCCACAGGTAGTCCACTCTTAACTACCAGTTCGGTTGTGGTGGCCTTGGAGGAGTTACCTGGGAGAAGCCTAATGTCCTCTGGGCATCCCTAGTCAGATCTGTGCCGGACACTCTCTGTCGACTTCTTTCTGTGATAGAAGCCGACTCGGGTCTCTCCCTGGTCCTCGTGATGTGGACACGCCCCTAGTTTTGGTTCCCACGGGAAACCCCCAGGCCTCGGTCACAGGCTCTTCTCTCGTGTTCCTCCGACCCCACACAGTCCTTTTCGCCTCCTTATCTCTGTGAGGTGTGACTCCCAGCGCCCCTGAATTTCTGCCGCTTCAACTCCCCTCCTTCCCCCCCAGCACTTGCCATCCTGAGTGAATGCCTGTTGGAACGGATGGGCCAGGTGTGTCTGCGTGAGTGAGGATGCATGCGTGGATGGAGGTGTACAGCCGAGGGTCATCACTGCATGCACGTCCTGGGCTGCCCCGTGGGGCTGGGGGCACAGAAGGGAATATGGTCCACGGTGGCATGGCCCCTGCTGCAGGGAGTATGCATTGCAGTCCGGCAAGGGATCGGGGCATGAAGAAAGCCCCCTTGTCGGTGGCCCCAAGATACTAGAAAGTGCCAGATGCGTGGAGCAAGGTGAGAACCTGACAATGCCCGGAGGAGGGAGACGGGAACTGGAGGTGGCATCCAGGGGGTCGATGGGGGCATCCGTCGCTGATGGGTCGCCGCTGGCAGCTTCAGTTGGGGGAGGTGGGGAGGAAGCCGGCTGTCATGGCAATGGGGAGGGGTGAGGTGGGGGGGGGGATGGGCAGCAGAGGAAGCTCCCCCTGCGCTGGATGGGGCTCCTGCACAGCTGGGACCCAGGACCCTCCCTTCAGGGGCTCGCCTCGCCGGCCCACCTGTGAGATCGATTCCCGGAGCTTGCTTCCAGCCCGAGCTGCCCGGTGCCCTCGTGATGGACCTCGCACAGCGGGCCGGGGTAAGCGTCCAGCTGGGATCCTCCATCGATGGTGGAATGATGTGCATTCATGGAACATAAAGGGTATTGACCGTTCCTTCGTCACATCTAGAAAATGCTCACCTGGAACCGTCAGAGGTGCAGGATGCATCAACCTGAGCGGCCTCCTGCCGCCCCGGACAGAGGTGGCTCTCACTTCCATTTCCTGCTCATTTCTTTTCATCTTTTTTTATTGAACTTGGAGAACTTTCTCTGAGAGCAGGTGTTTCAGGTGGCTTCCTTGGGTTACTGTGTGTGAGGACGGGGGTCTGTGTGCGTCCAAGACCCTCTCCCTGCGCACCCCCGCCCCCGGCTAGGCCCACAGCCACCAGGACTCCCAGAGAGGAGGAAGTGAACCTTGACCTTGGCAGGAATGTGGCCCTGAGACAGGTTAGATTTGCGGTACAGAAGTGAAACTGGTTTTGCAGCATTCCCCCCCAC